AGGCTTGTTTCAAGGAAATTAACAACAATCTTGTACACATGAAAAAACTCATAAAAAGAAAACCACGTGTTCTCACAATGTTTTATTATGAGCAGAGAAATTCGTTCCTGATAATGAAGCTTAAGGCTCTAATGAAGACACACATGGCAATCAGCAACGCAGTACAGATGCTGAATAAGACCTTGAGTTTGCAACTCCTTGTCACGATAATCATAACCTTTTTTGAAATCAATCTTGATATGTATGTCTATTTAGTGCAATGGAATAATGGAATGGTCCTCAATTTGGATAAACAGATTGGTGAGTTATTCTTATCAGCCATGGTACAGTATATTACAAAAATGGTGTTAATTGTGTGGGTATGCGAGACTGGCAAGAATGAGGCTCAAAGAATTCGCACTACGATTCACGATGTACTTAACAGCATCAGAGACGAGAAAATAAAAAATGAGGTAGTAAAAATTATTTAATTTGTATGTTTTTCTTCTAATATGTTGTATGCCAATACGACTTTTATATGCATTAACGTGTTCCGCGTTAATTTTAAACTTTATCACCAACGCCGCGTGTCCTACGCAACACTGGACGTGTTACATCTACATCAAATACATAGTTACGTTTTCCAGTCCTGTATTTAATAATTTTGCGATTAACATTACAGTTGCAGTTGTTTTCACTACAAACATTGCATTGTAAAATTACATTTTCTGCCAAAGGATTCAATGTGGATGCAACATTTCTCGCGACGGTAAGTAATCGACTGTTTACTTTAATTAATGAAATGTCTTTTTTTATTTTGTTTACTTTGCTTTCAGATGATGGGTACCATTACTACGTATATGTTAATTTCGATACAATTCTTTGTTACTTCACATTCTTGCGATGGAAAATCTGCAATCAATAGTACATAAATAATATAATTCTCTAAAGAAATATGTAGATAATAAAAAAAAAACATTTTTTTTCTTATATTTATAAACAATTATTCGTATACATGTATACATAAAAAATTTCCTTGAATTTATTACACACATACACGCACGCGCACGCGCGCGCGTATAAGGGAAGGTCGGATAGAATCGGACAAAAGTTGTTTTAAGCATTTGTTACTGGAGGCAACACCTGTAAAGCAATCGTGTGGAGGTACGTACCCCCGTTCCTCAGTCAACACGCCGATTGCTTCTTAAGTGTTGCCTCCAGCGGCAAATGCTTAAAATAATTCTTGTCCCATACTAGCCGCTGTCCGATATTACCCGACCTTCCCCTACGCATCTATTAAATATTAATAATAAATATCAATATTAATAATTAATAATTAATATAAAACCCACTAAACATTTTGACGTAGAAACGTCATACTAACATCTCGGTAAAAATGTTACGCCTCTAGAACATTTCAGAAAAATGTTTTATTAGTAACGTTATTACAATGTACAAATAACGTAGCAATCGATTTCACATAATGATATTGCTATTACGTTGCAAAAATTTCACAAATTAAATGTTCCTTTGAACCGTCGTAGAGATAGTATTTTTGCTGTCGCCGAAATATTAGTATGACGTTTCAACAACGTAATAGTAAAAATGTTTAGTGGGAAAAAGTATTATAATGAAATTTTAAATAAATCTTGAATATTTTGTGTATTTAACTACATTTTAAAAAAATGTAAAATGTATGAAATAAATTTCTAATAAAATATAGCTGTTGACTTATTCAATATTTCGAATAGCTAAAGCAATCTAACATTGTTCTCTTAAATATGCAGTTAATTCAAATATTTGAATATAATGCAATATGTACTTTTCTACATTGAAATAAATTAAGGCGATATTAGGAGGACGAACTCTAAAAATAAAAAATATTAATATACATTAAACCATATTTACATCGATTTATGTTTCCTTAAGTCAACACCCAGTCAATTCTGAAACCATTCGGAATCAGATATATGTTTATTAGACATTTTCTCTTTTTTTCATGTGCTAAAGCTATTGTATCAGTTTTACAACAAAAATGT